AAAAAAAAAAAAAAAAATGTCCAGTGCGGCACAGTGGAACAAGCTTGTAGTCCTAGCTACCTACAAGAGTGAGGCAGAAGGATCACTTGAATGCAGGAATCCAAGGTTTTAAGGTGCTATGGTAGCCCCTGTGTATAGCCATCGTACTCCAGCCTGGGCAACATAGTGAGCTCCTGTGCCTAAAAAAAAAATGAAAAAAAAAACAACCCAACTTGGTCATTAAATTTAAAATGTCCCATTTCAAATCAAAACTTTGGTTAGTATATCTTAAACAAGAAGCAGTAAAATTAAGTGAAATATATAACTATTGACATATTTCTGCCATCTTAATGGTGGCTTGTAGATGGCAGCAGCAAAGAAGCCTGGAGAGTGAGTAGTAATCAAATCATAAAAGTTATTTTCCACAGCTTCTGAGAATTGAATATTTTTCCTCATGAGAAGTAATCAGTTGGTGTGAGGTCTGATGAATATTGTGGATTACAGAGAGTTTCCAAGTCCGTGTTCTGGTACTTTGAGCAGCATTTATGTGACACCATTCTTACAGGAAGATTGGACAGCCAATCTCAGCTGCTTAATCACAAACATCCTCATCATTTCTTCTGATTGGTTGCAGTAGACATCCCCTGTAGTCACCTGACCAGGTTTCATGAAGCTGTAGTGGATAATACCAGTGCTGGACCACCAAACAGATGCCATTAGTTTTTTTGATAAATATCTGGTTGGACTGTGTTTGAGCACTTCATCTTTATCTAACCATTGTGCTAAACATTTGAAATTGTGAAAAAGAATCTTTTTCTTTTCTTTCTTTCTTTTTTTTGAGACAGAGTCTCACTTTGGCACTCTTAGTAGAGTGCTTTGGTGTCATAGTTAACAGCAATCTCAAACTCTTAGGCTCACGTAATCCTCTTGTCTCAGCCTCCCAAGCAGCTGGCACTACAGTCGCTCACCACAATGCCTGGCTATTTTTAGAGACAGGTTCTCACTCTGGCTCAGGTTGGTCTATAGCAGGCATCCTCAAACTACAGCCCGCGGGCCACATGCAGCCCGCCTAGAACATTTATCCGGCCCACTGGGTGTTTTTGCTGCAGCTGCCTGTCCTGCGTAGCAGCCGACTCGTCCCAGGGCCTGCAGTCCAGCCCTCGAACTGTCTGAGGGACAGTGAACTGGACCCCTGTTTAAAAAGTTTGAGGACCCCTGGTCTATAGCTTCGGAGATCAGGTGATCCACCCACCTCTGCTTCCCAGAGTGGTACTGTTACAGGTGTGAGCCACTGTGCCTGGCCTAAAAAAGAATCTATTTTTCATCACATGTAACCGTACAGTGTAGAAATGGTTCAACTTTATGTCATGACAGCAAAGAATGGCAAGCTTTAGATGGTTTGTCTTTTGGGCCTCATTTAATTTCTACAGAGCCTATCTATCCAGTTTCTTTACCATGCTGATTTGCTTCAAGTGGTCCAATGTTATTAGAATAGTAAGGTCACCCTTTGTTCCTATTTCATGTATAGGTTGTTTAGATGGATTCCCTTCCACTACAGCTTTCAGCTTGTCATTATCCACCTTGGTTGTTTACAGGGTTCATTTTCAAGTTTAAAATCACCAGAATAGAAATCCCTGAACCATTGACTGATATATGCCATCCTTCCCAAACACTTCATTGATATTTTAAGCTGCCTGCACTGCATGGTTTCCATGACCTATCTCTTGTTCAGAAATAACACGAATTCCTGACTTTAACCTTGGTTTAACAAAAATTGCTTTGTTAAAATTTTTTTTTTTTTTGAGACTGAACCTCAAGCTATCCCCCTGGGTAGAGTGCAATGGTATCACAGCTCACAGCAACCTTCAACTCCTGGGCTCAAGCGAGTCTCCTGCCTCCACCTCCCAAGTAGCTGGGACCACAGGTGCCC